AACAGGTGCAAGCGTATGCAGAGTTTCTATTTAGGCTATAACATGTGTTCGCTGCGTTGAGCAATTCAGTGCTGAAATCTGCGTGCTCACGAATCCTCTCATTATAACACACGAATTGTAGACATTGTGAAAGATTCATTGTGCATATATTGTGTTATAACAGACATTTGTGAGATTGCGATGAATTGAGATGTCTTTTAGAGATTATAAATGCAGTGCTCTTTGCTGGCATTCTGCCATGACAAACCATGCACACAGCAGCCGCTTGCTTTAGTTAAAAATAGCAGTGTTCTGTGAATGTTGATGCTTTAATAACAAATATTTATCGGGAGCATGTATGCTGGAATTTCATACATTTTAATGGAGACGTAAGTAACGTAACTAGTAATGTAACTAATTACTAATTACGTAATCAGTAATCAGTAATTGGATTACATTTTCAGAGTAACTTGCCCAACGCTGTATATAATATATATAAAATATAAATTATAATTTATATTTTTCCTTTTATTTTATATTTATATTGCTTGACATGTTTTTAAGATGACTAAGCATCAGCAATACGGTTAATACGGTGTTAACACCTCACATGTTCCTATTTATTTTTATTTTATTTATCCTGTATTTTACCAGGAATTATCCCATTGAGATATACAGTAAATCTCTTCTACCAGGGAGATAAAACCAAAAATATAATAAAGAACAAAATCTTATCCAGCATCATATGAAAAAAAATTCCGTAAAATTTCCGGGTCCCGATCAGACTTATCAAGATTTATCAGATTTATCAAGATCAGATTTATCAAAACCCAAAAGCAAATAACATAAGGTGCTATTATACACTCACTGTGTGCTGTAGTATTACTGAAAAATCTTAACCTTGTTTGGCAGATTCATCTTTTCTGAATTATTAAAATATTGGTGTCTGGGACGCCATGAGACTGTTGTGTACACTGTGAGTTTTTAAAGGCTTCGCTTAAAGGTGTGCTATGAATGAACAGTGCTCATAAACAGCTGTTGAGAGTATTCTACTACACTTGAAATGGAGCAATTGCTTGGACCCGAAAACAGTATTGGATACGTTATAAATTAACAAGTGGGTAGTAACAGTGGTGCTTATCTCATCAAGCACCATTATTTAACATGCCAAATGAAGTCCAGAGCTCTCCTGTAACGTGCTGTCATGCTGTGGTGTGTGGGATAGAAATGTTGACCTGTGTGAGAGATGAGTGGGTGTTCAGCTCTATGACAGGGGGACTCCGGGGCCCGTGTGGCCCCCCGGCAGGATACTCCTCTGGGCAACAGCAGCAGCAGGCTGTGCAGCAGGACGAGGCAGTGGGCCAGGGGCGTTCGCTCCACGGGGGGAGCCATGGGGGTCCACGGGACTCTGCTCAGTACTGCTGGGGCAGGAGCATAGGGCGCTGGGCATCTGCCTCGGAAATTGCTGATCTGAAGGGCCTGTTGATGGGTCTGGAGACTCATGTCTGTAGCGCGTGGAAATGGGGTTTTACATCCCCTTGTCTTGTTGAAATCACACACAGTTTCCTATCAGTAAATGCTGGACAGCGTGGAGCCATTGCTTTCTACTGTTTTTCAGATTTTCTCTTACGATCAATTCCCATTATGATTTGATATTCAATTACAGTATTATCAAGCACACACACACATAAACAGCATATCGAATGGCAAAATACCATAAATAAGGAATTAGATTTAGACATATTTCTTTCTTTGAGTGAATGGTAATTTTTTACAGTCTAAACACTTGCACAACATTAAACTTGTCATTTCTTTTTAACGTTGCTGATGTGAAAAATTATTTTTCATTGCATAACATTTTGTATTGTAGCCCAATGCAGTGTTTAAATAATGTCCCACCCCCTCATACAGGCAGACACAAAAAGAGCAAAGAAAAGATAAGAATCACATTAGCGTGGATGACTAACTCAGCGGTTGATTGTGAAAAGTGCAAACATCCATTAGAGGTTTTTTAACCCCTTATCATTCCTGTAAAATTTGACTAAAACATGCAGTGGAATGCTAACAGGTTAAGTGAGCTCATTTGCTTGAAAGTCTCAAATCAATTACAGATACAATACATGTCCTGGCACACTGAGTTGTGGTGCTCATATGGAAACAGCGAGTTCAAATATGGCTCGCAACATTGTCTGATTCCATATCCATAAATTCCTGCTCTTTCTCCACTTTACTTGAAATAAAATGTGGAAAAATGGTACCTACAAACTTAACCAATTACCACCGGGACAACATAATGTCTGGTTGTTAGCAAGGGTGTCATAAACAGACAGGACACAAGCACTGGATTTCCTTTAATCATAGCTGCACATGACAACATGACATATTCCTGCTGTGGTCCAGTGTCTGCACGCAGGAAATAACAATGTATGTTGACAGTGATGAAACATTTCAGCAGTACTACTGGTTACGTTCTCTCTCACACATACGCACTGCGGTTTGAGTGGCTTCCTGCACAATCTGTCCTCTTCTAACACAAGAGAAGTAATGGGAGAGCACCGTGGTCAATATGATCTAATTATTCCTACGAAAACACCGGATCCTCTGCATATTAAAGCCCCTCACATTCAGAGCTGAATCACAGGAATATCTTCAGCAATAAAACAAAATTATTATTTCTTGAACCGAATGTAGGGGAAGAATAAAAGAGACAGTTCACCCAAATAATGAAAACTCTATCCACATTTACTTACCCTCACATCATTCTTTCCGGAGCACAGAAGATATATTTTTAAACAATGTACTGGTTTAAGGACTGGAGCTTTTAAACTTCACAAAGGATACAGAAGCACCATAAAAGTAATGTAAAAGTGGTCCATATGACTCTTGCACTGTATTCCAATTTTTCTGAACGCCATATAATAGCTTTGATATTATAACAGATGAAAATCTTCTTCTCCATTGTTAACTGTAGCAAACCAGATCGAGTCAGTGAGTGCATTCGTAAATTAATAATTTTTGAGAAATGGATCAACAGATTAATTGATAATATCATGGTTGGTTTTGAGTTTTGGTTTATGTTTATGTTTCAGTGGATTTTTATAACAGATAAGATCTGATTTAGAAGAATGATTTGTTCACGACATCACTATGTTATGGTTTCAAAATACATACACTCAGGGCAGGACTTGGGCCCCTGGGCTTGAGGTTATGTTTGGGCCCTATACCTACACTACAAATGCCCTCAAATAGAACATCATTATGGAGTAACACAAAATACACAAACATGTGCTTTGAGGTTCATAAATGGTAGGCTACAATTAATTTGCAAAATGTCTAGGCTATAGTCAAAGTTTAAATGTAATATTAAATATTCATTATAATATAATAAACAGGATGTGTTCTCTCAGTCGAGAGATCAAAACCCTGAAATAACTTTGAGCAATAAAATAATAATAATAATAAATAAAAAGCCAGAGATGTTGGCTTATTAGTATTATAAAAGTTATTGTCATATCTGTGTCCTCTTATTGTAGGTTCTTATTTAATCAATAAATTCAATCAGGCTGGCTATTAACAATCAAATGAAATCACTATCAACAAAATTCATAGATGGATTGTGCATAAATGTTAAGTTTAAATATAACATTTTAATGTAGAAATATTAAATGATTGCAAAAATGAAATAATCTACTTTTTTAAATATGAAACTACAACCGCCAGTAGGTGGCAGCAAGTGAGTTGAATCAACCGATTTGTTTAAAAAGCTGATTCATTTAACTTTGCAAAGGACTGATTGAATCATTTACTGGTCCGTGTAATGCTGAGGAACAAAACACTGTTGTTCGGAGACGCAGCTATTTTCTTTCTGATGGAGCAAAACTGAATTTTGTGTCTGAAAGTTACTCTGTAAGTTGTTGTTTATTGTACATTTGCGATCGTGCAGATATTCTAAAAAAAAACAAAAAACAGGACTCTTGTTTGTGTGATAGGCTAAGTCCTATATCATAGGCATAGCTATGATATAAAAACAGAAACTCATTAAATTGCTATTTTTTATTTAAAACCATTTTGATGAAATTTTTTCCCCACTATGTGTAATGGCAGTAAGACGAAAGAGAGCGCTCAAAACTCATCAGATGATCGCATAATTTAGTGGAACATTAATATAGTAATATAGAATCATCCTCTGTAAAGAAATGAGGTGTGAACATTTGAGAATTTATCATTATCTTTTAAATGTGCACTCTTTGGGGCTAAAGCTTAATGGAGCTGTTTAAAGTAGCCATGTGTGACCATGGACCACAAAACCAGTCATAAGGGTCAATTTTTGGAAATTGAGATTTATACATCATCTAAAAGCTGAATGAATAAGCTTTCCATTGATGTATGGTTTGTTATGATAGAACAATATTTGGCCGAGATACAACTATTTGAAAATCTGGAATCTGAGGGTGCAAAAAAAATCTAAATATTGATTAGATTAGATTTTGTGCATACAGTGGAAAATGGCATACTTAAACAAATAATTTTAATTAATGAATGCTATATTTTAGTCCTAGTCATGGTCTCTTTCAAAATACATTTTGTGCACTTTTTGGTGAATTAAAAGCAAGCAGTAATGTAACTGTAACTGTAACTTTTTCACTCATTGTTTAGAAATTATCCTTTCAGAGCACACAAATGGCAAAACTATGCGTGTGCCATGCATAGCTAATTAATTCAACGTTGTCAAATCTTATGATTTTTCGTTGATGTTAATTTTATTTTAATCAGTTCGATTATCGATCAGTACTAAAATTGTAATTTTCAGTATTTGCTTAAAGGGGTCATATTATGGGATTTCAATTTTTCCTTTCTCTTTGGAGTATTACAAGCTCTTGGTGCATAAAGAAGATCTGTAAAGTTGCAAAGACTAAAGTCTCAAATCCAAAGAGATATTCTTTATAAAAGTTAAGAGTCAACCACGCCTACCTAAAATGGATCGTTCTAACATCGGTCTACGTCACGATGTGGGAAGATTTGCATAATGCCGCCCAAATGTTCACGCAAAGAAAGAAGGCGTAACTTTTATTCTTGCTGTAGTATTGTTGTTGCCGCCACCGCCATGTCGTGAAGGCGCTGTGTGTTTCGTTGTGAAAGCAAAACTACTTTGCTTGGCCTTCCAAAAGAGGACAATATCCGCTTCGTCATGCCTGGAGCTGATCCATGCTGGTCGCTGAGGGAATACA